TATTACCTTTATTCTTTTGTTTTGTCAACAACGCCTATTTTTCTTTGAATGTCTCTTCTATTCTCTCACCTAACCGCTTCGTGAGCCTCCAATGACCCCTATAATTCATCTATCTTCAACAAATCGAGATTTTTTGACTTTTCGATAGTAATTGAAATTATATTAAACCTTGTATCAAGGGTTGTCAATACCTTTTATACCACCGTTCATTTCTTTAAGTTTTCACCACATGACTTCATCGAGTTTGTAATCGACAACAATCTTGAAAATAATTTTTGATTGTTTCTTGTGTCCCCATCTACAACAACTCATACTGGCGATGCAAGGTTTGAAGTTGCACAATTTTTAACCTTTCCACTCTTGTATAACTTTGCATTAGTATATCCCAAGCTTCTTTTGTTATGTTTGCCAACGAGATATTCTCAAAATTATTTTCATCGACATACTAATGAATATAAAATAAAGATTTACAATCATGTTTCTTCGTATCATGAAACATAACATGTTGTGCCTTAGTGGAATTCTCTAGTAAACCATTATATCTATTCAAAACTATATCCAAGACCTCCTGGAACTCAAAGATAGCCTTCATCTTCACGTATCATTTATCATAACTATTCAAATTTTTACTATTGAGCAATGACATGTTGTCATACAATCCAGTTCCTGTCATTGTCATTCAATATTCTTTCTTTCTTTTTTATAGATCTTGAAACTCTTAATTGTTAAGGTTTTTCTGTTTTTATTTATTATTCTGTTTAGCAATTTGTTAATAGTGCAGCATTTACTCCTAATCTGTAGGGCAGTTTCCAATAAATTAGGGTCACACTCCAACTGAGATCTATTCTGTTTCTCAGTGGCTTTATTTAAGTTAGCAGTTATCTTTGAATAATACACAACAATTTTACAGCTTCTTCTATTTTCCATTTACGTTAACCTTTGCCTTCCTACACATTTTATATCTTTCAATAATTGGTATCAGAGCTCCGCAAGGGGCCTGATCCAAACGGTGAGTGAGTTGTGAGTAAGTGAATCTCTAAAAGAAACCCAAGATGTCTACTTCCAAATTTGTGCAGCCCGCTATTCCCAAATTTGAGGGTCATTATGATTTTTGGTCAATGACCATGGAGAATTTTCTTAGAAGCAAAGAATTGTGGAGTCTAGTGGAGGAAGGGGTTCCTACACGTGTGATTAGTACAGGACCCGGTGGAGAGACTCTATTGAAAACTGTGGAGGAAGCCAAACTCAAAGATTTGCGTGTCAAAATTTTTTTGTTTCAATCTATTGACAGAGAAATATTGGAGACTATCCTTGACAAGAGCACATCACGGGCAATTTGGAATTCAATGCGGCAAAAGTATCAAGGTTCTACAAGAGTGAAACGTGCACAACTCCAAGCATTGCGGAAAGAATTTGAGTTACTCACAATGAAAGAAGGGGAAAAGGTGGACAATTTTATGGGCCGCATCATGACTGTGGTAAGCAAAATGAAATCCAATGGAGAAACAATGGAACAGAGCACGGTGGTGAGCAAAATATTGAGATCTCTAACTCCTAAATTCAACTATGTTGTTTGTGCTATAGAGGAATCAAATGACCTCAATGTTCTCACCATTGACGAATTGCACGGAAGTTTATTGGTGCATGAACAAAGAATGCTTGGGGTACAGGAGGAAGAACAGGTGTTGGAGGCTACTCACGAGACCACCAATAGTAGAGAGGAGCGACCTAACAGAGGCAGAGGTCGTGGTGGATTTAGAGGAGGTCGCAGCAGAGGAAGAGGAAGACAACCCTTCAACAAAGCCTCCATGGAGTGTTTCAAGTGTCATAAATTAGGGCATCTTCAGTATGAATGCGGTTCGTTCTATGCTCAAGGAGAAGCAAGTTCCCAAAGTCTTTTGGTCAGAAGCTGTCAAGTGGTGTGTGCACATCCAAAACAGAAGTCCTACAACTGCTGTAGAAGATATTACTCCAGAAGAAGCCTAGAGCGGCAGGAAACCTGTGGTGGAATATTTCTGAGTCTTTAGGTGTGTAGCTCATGCGCATATTCCAGACCAGAAAAGAGTCAAGCTGGATGACAAAAGCAGAAAATGTGTTTTTCTGGGTGTTAGTGATGAGTCTAAAGCATGACGCTTATATGATCCAATCACAAAAACTGTGGTCATTAGCAGAGATGTAGTTTTTGAGGAGGAAAGGAGCTGGGATTGGAGCAGATTAGAGCTGGAAACCAAGCCAGATGAGGTGATTTTTGGAGATACAGATGATCTTGCTGCAACGACTGAAAATAACACTAATATTACAACAACTGCAGATAATAGTGTTGATAACAGTGAAGATGGGAGCAACAACACACACCTAGACAGTACTGCACCAAGTTCACCTAAAGGGAGGGCAACACGTGCAAGGAGAGCTCCAGGGTGGTTAGCAGATTATGACACAGGGTTGTCAGAAGAAGAAACCTTAGCAGTAATGCTTGTAACCGAATCAGACCCGGTGTCATTTGAAGAAGCTGCAGGGAGTAAACATTGGAGAGAAGCCATGGTTAAAGAAATAGAAGCTATAGAAAAGAATCTCACATGGGAACTTACGTCTTTACCGGATGGAGTTACACCAATTGGAGTTAAATGGGTTTTTAAAACCAAACTCAATGTAGAAGGGACAGTAGAAAAACACAAAGCAAGACTTGTAGCAAAAGGGTATGCCCAAAAACATGGAATTGACTACACTGAAGTTTTTGCTCCAGTTGCTAGATTGGATACCATTAGATTAATTCTAGCTACCGCTGCTCAATTTAGCTGGAAGGTGTTCCAACTTGATGTCAAGAGTGCCTTTCTTCATGGAGAACTTAAAGAAGATATATTTGTCCTACAACCTGAAGGTTTTGTGAAGAAAGGAGAAGAAGAGAAGGTATATAAACTAAAGAAAGCATTGTATGGTCTTAAACAAGCACCTCGAGCTTGGTATCACAAACTTGAGACCTACTTTATACAAGAAAATTTTGAGAAGTGTCCTAGTGAACACACATTGTTCACTCGCTCACAGGGAGGTAAAATTTTAATTGTCAGTTTGTATGTTGACGATTTGATATTCACTGGAAATGATAGAATTATGTGTGAGGAGTTTAAACAGTCCATGATGGCTCATTTTGATATGTCTGATTTGGGAACAATGAGTCACTTTCTTGGTATTGAGGTTAAACAATACTCAACTGGCATTTTTATTTGTCAAAGGAGGTATGCACAGGAGATATTGTCTTGTTTTGGTATGCAGGACAGCAATGCAGTAAAGAATCCCATGGTGTCGGGGACTCGACTGTCCAAGAATACGGAGGACGAAGGTGTTGAAGAAACTTTGTTCAAACAATTAATTGGCAGTCTTATGTATTTAACTGCCACTAGGCCAGACTTGATGTATACAGTAAGTTTACTTAGTAGATTCATGACCAATCCTACTACAACACACTCGGTTGGCGACAGAAACGCGTTTTGAGGTACATCGAGGTACGATCTGTCTTGGCATTTGGTATAAAAGGGAACTAGTAGTTTAAGACTACTAGCCTTTTCTGGATAGCGATTATGCTTGGAGATTTGAACGATAGAAAAAGTACTTCGAGCTACGTATTTATACTAGGAACATGGGCAATTTCTTGGGCATCTAAGAAACAAAATGTGGTAGCTCTGTCAACAACAGAGGCAGAGTATATGGCGGCAGCTCTATGTGCTTGTCAATGTATTTGGCTAAGCCGATTGCTAGAACAAATTGGGCTTAAGAATGAAACTGCAGTTGAGATTCTATGTGATAATAGTTCTACAATTCAGCTATCCAAACACCCAGTGTTTCATGGGAAAAGCAAACACATAGATGTCAGGTTTCATTTTTTAAGGGATTTGGTGAATGATGGAGCGATCAAGCTACGATTTTGTAGCTCTCAAGATCAACTAGCAGACATTATGACAAAACCTCTAAAGCTGGACCAGTTTCAAAGGTTGCGGACTATGATTGGAATAACTAGTGTAGATGCATTAGTTTAAGGGAGGGATTGTTAAGGTTTTTCTGTTTTTATTTATTATTCTGTTTAGCAATTTGTTAATAGTGCAGCATTTACTCCTAATCTGTAGGGCAGTTTCCAATAAATTAGGGTCACACTCCAACTGAAATCTATTCTGTTTCTCAGTGGCTTTATTTAAGTTAGCAGTTATCTTTGAATAATACACAGCAATTTTACAGCTTCTTCTATTTTCCATTTACGTTAACCTTTGCCTTCCTACACATTTTATATCTTTCAATATTAATACCATCATTAACAAAAAAGGAAGTCAAAACAATTACGGAACTAATATCGAGAGAAAGAGTTACACTAAATAAAAATTATATTCAATATAAAAATTGAATTATATGATTCTACTATTAAAATACTATAAAAATATACTATTTAAAACAATCATATAAATTTATTAAGCTAATTAACCTAACTAAAAAATTATTATAATATTATTATTAAATTATCATTTAACGCATACATTTCTTTTTTTCTTTTTCAAGCACATAGCCATTTTATTTCTTATGTACATGTATTGGTGGATTTTTCTTGGAACAAATGGACAAGTAGGAAAATACTAGTCTAATTGCATATTTTGATTTCATATTACGTTAAATTTATGGTGGACCATCTAAATTAAAGTTATATTAGATATTCTTTTTATATCAAATCGTAAACCGAAGAATATTAATTATTGAATATAAATATATCTCGTGTGAACACTCCATATAACATGATTCATGATTGAAGATGATGTGGTTAATTAACTGATTATATAAGTTTGTAAATCACATTAAGCATATGTTTAGCAGCGGGCCAAATTCTTTTGACCACCGATAACCAAGATTTAGCGGAGATTACGAATTAATAATGGAATCAGGATTTAAGATGTGGGTCCGGGTCATTCAGATCCGGATATCAGATATGGATATGTGGGTAACAGTGTGGGTTATACCCACAGGGATTGGATATTACTGCGGTCCACGAGTATAGAAAACCGTTGGAGAGAGCATCTAAATGCTTGCCACGTAAGTCAAACAGTCAAACCAAGGCTTCATAAACGGACACGTGTGTGACTCTGTGTGAGATTAGTGTTACGGGTATGGTGGCATTTCCGTCACGCGCTTTTCTTCTGTTACCGCAGCAAATAATAATAAAAGTAATTTAATAATGTATACAACGTCACCCATGAGTCATTTCGCGTAGGGTTAACCCCACCTGTGGCGCGTGTGAACTCATCGTTATTTATGCATTACTTCATGCTCTTTGCTCTAAGCCATGGACCGAGTCTTTCATTCTTCATTAGGATGGGAATTTTTTCGCGTAACTTTTGTGTGAGTAATGAAATCATTAATATATATATTTTTTCTTTTATTTATCATGCTGTAAACTTAAATTCCAAATAAACTATATATAAGTGATATTGTGCTAATTAAATGTCATAATTTATAAACCTATAAATATTTTTAAGAGTTTACACTCATGAGTTTGACTTTTGTAGCACCACTCTTTTGTAATATTCGTATAAAAAATATGTCAATTTTGCCACTCATGTTAATATATTTTTGTAAAAAAAATTATAATTAATAATGAAAAAAATTAGTCGATTTATATTGAGTATGGTACTGATAACAATTTCATAGAAATGAGAATTGCGTAGCAGAAGAATATTTCTTAGAGCGAATATATTGAACGGCCAGACTTTAATTAACTTTTATCAAGAGAAGACTATTCATCATTCCACCCTTAACACGAGTATTAGATACACTTAAATAAGAGGTCTTTTTGTTAAGAAAAGTATTTAAGGAAAAAGTGTAATATTATTCATTGAATACCGATCATTACGAAATATCTCCAATGTTTTTATATATATATTATATTGAATTTTTTAAAAGACACAAATTATCAATATTAATAATAAATACATATTTATTAATTTAAGTTTTCTCCTTTAAAAAAAACGTAAAATGTACGAAAACCCATTAGTTGACATTTGTCAATTCACACTCATTTATCACGAGTACCTTAAGAACTGTGGTGAAACTTGATTGGCATTATTCTCTTAGTGAATAATGTTTCATTGTTAATTAGTGGTAATGAAAGTGAAAATTACATTAGTAACTTCATTCAATTGTGTGATATTTATTTATTTATCAATTTATTACAGTGAGGGTTGAGAAGAGAGAGTGGAAGCAGGACCCGCGTAGAGAAGAGAGTAGAAAAAGTGAGGAATGTTCGCAGTTCCCAGTTCCCTAACGTGTGGTCGGCTCCGTTTGAAATACGCGCCGTGAGTAAACACTTATCATCCATATGCGTCCTTAAATCCCCTCTTTATCTAAGCTTCCGTCACCGTTACAGTCACCGTTGTTATCCGTACCAGTCTTTGGTCATACCCAAACACTTTCTTCTCTATATATAACATTCAGACACCCCTCCTCACCTTCATCCACACCAAACACACAAACAACAACACAATAGTTAACAAAACAACGACATCATTATCATCGTCGAAGCTGCACAGTTTCCCAACACTCGACAAAGCTCAATTTGGTTTATACTTCTGAGGTAATTTCTTCTACTTTCCAAGTGAAATGGCTTTATTTTCTCTTTCTAAAATTAACATGTAATGAATACCCATCCCCTGATAAGTGCATGTTTCTGTTTTCCTTTTCTAAGCTTCTCGATGTTCCAATCCAATACGACGCCGGTGGCTGTCTGAAATAAACATATATCTATTATGTAGCTGTTTTCTGTTTTTTCTCTCTTTTTTAAAGAAAATAGATAAATAATTCGTGTTTGGGTTGGTTTTCTTTGTTTTCAATGTTTTTTAGCTTTTGATTGTTTCTGGTCATGATTTCAACGTCCTGCTGCTTTAATTGTATTGCTTTTTGTTTATGAAAAGATTACATCATGGATTTTTTACTATAATTTCAATGATATTAAACTATTTTTATTTAATAATAATTTGGTTTGGATGTGATGTGAGTGATTGGTGGGGTTTGAATTAGGGGAATGATTCCTGGGTTTGGAACAATTTGTTACTTTCATAAGTATAAATCATTTTATTTTATATGCTACTCTAAATGCTGTATCTGTATGAAATCCACCTACCGGTGCCAACGGAAGTGAGAGCAAATAGCATTATAAAAGAACAAATAGAGATGGTTTTAATTTTCATGGAGGTTTACTTCTATTTTTATGATTTGGGTATGTAATCATGAGAGGTTTTCACTTGCTCTTTTATATCTAATAAGATGGAACATTTTATGAAATCACATGGGAAGGCTGTTGAAATTGCTTGCTTTTGATTTTTTAGCAACCTTGTGATACAGTACGATTCCCAGCTCAGATTAGTAGTTTACCATGTTAAATACAAACAAGCTTAAACCTCTTCTTGTTTGTGTTTTTGACTGTTATATGTTTGTATGATATTTTTTCTTTCTCCTATATGCATAACGGGAACCAAATTACACCCTACTTAGGCATTCCTGGCATAACTTTGATTAGTTCTACCATCAAATTAATTCTGAGCTTCGAATTCGTTAGTTTGATTTGTATGCCATAAGGCATTGATTGCGTTCTTCTTTTTCTATGCTCTGCATGTTGCAGTGGGGCCAAAAGGGTTATGAATTTAATTTTTCCAACTTCATCAGCTTGAATTTTTCTAGTGTTTGGTCAGTTTCTTTATTTATTGTGTGTGAGCTTGTCTTTATCTTCTCTACAAATTGCAGTTGCGCTAGGTGAGTGGTACAATGAACTTGTGATTTAGCTATTATGAAAATACTCATTGGTGCTTGTCTATGTTGTTCCTGCAGGCTTATATTATTTTATTAAGAAGTTTGAAGAGGGTGGTGTTTCTCTGATTTGTCGAATTATTAAATCTCCCATAACGTAAATCGGTCGATGCCATCATCATAGGATGGATTCACAACAGCTTTTCAGTTCTGGTGTTGCTAGTGCAGGATTACCTTACATGTCATCTTTTCCCACAGTTCCATCCCTACCCAACAGGCTGCTTGGACCCTTGAAATATGACACAGGAAACTCACCTAATTCACCCTTTTCCACTTACTTTGATTCTGACACCCTTTCTGCATTGAGTGACGGCAAGGACCAATACAGCCCCGGAGAAATCCTCTCTTCACTGGAAACCAATTATTATATGTATGGATCAATCTCATCTGTGGACGGGCTCATAGACAATTTTCCACTATATTCTGCGAGGAGCTCTCTTCTACAGAATGTGAATTGTAATCAGAAAATCCAACACGCTTTGCTGGAGCTAGAAACTGCTCTGATGGCCCCTGATGATGATCAAGCTAACACACCAAATACTTTGGCTGACGGCAGCAGGCCAATGGCATCTGGCCAGAGATACAGGTCCTGGAACCATGAGAACCATGGCTCACAATATACTCAAACTCAGCCATCATGTGTTCCTAGCAGTTGGCTATCAAGTGAAGTTGTGCATGCAGAGAAACGGCAAAAGTTGATAGAGGAACCATCACTACAAGCTTTCCCACCAAACAATTTGAAGCAATTGCTGATTGCATGTGCCAAATCCCTTTCTGAAAACAACATGAAAGATTTTGATCAATTGGTAGCAAAGGCCAGAGATGCCGTGTCCATCAATGGGGAGCCAATCCAGAGGCTTGGTGCTTACATGGTAGAAGGGCTTGTTGCAAGGAAGGAAACATCAGGGAAGAACATCTATCATGCCCTTAGTTGCAGAGAGCCTGAAGGTGAAGAATTACTCTCTTACATGCAACTTCTGTTTGAGATCTGCCCCTACTTAAAATTTGGTTACATGGCTGCCAATGGAGCCATTGCGGAAGCCTGCAGAAACGAGGATCGCATACACATCATAGACTTCCAAATTGCTCAGGGATCTCAATGGATGACTCTTCTTCAAGCCCTTGCAGCGAGACCTGGTGGTGCTCCCCATGTTAGGATCACGGGGATTGATGACCCTGTTTCTAAATACGCTCGTGGCGACGGATTAGAGATGGTTGGGAAAAGGTTGGCCTTGATGTCTGAGAAATTTGGCATCCCAGTTGAGTTTCATGGAGTGCCTGTTTTTGCTCCAGAAGTGACAAGGGAAATGCTTGATATCAGGCCTGGAGAGGCCTTGGCTGTGAACTTCCCCTTGCAGCTCCATCACACAGCCGATGAGAGTGTTCATGTGAGTAACCCAAGGGATGGACTATTGAGATTGGTAAAGTCACTTGCTCCCAAGGTGACCACACTGGTGGAGCAGGAATCAAACACCAACACAACCCCTTTCTTCAACAGGTTTATTGAAACCTTGGATTACTACTTGGCGATCTTTGAGTCTATTGATGTCACTCTCCCAAGAGATAGCAAGGAACGGATCAATGTGGAGCAACATTGCCTGGCCAGGGATATAGTGAATATTATTGCTTGTGAAGGCAAGGAAAGGGTTGAGAGACATGAACTATTAGGCAAGTGGAAATCCAGGTTAACAATGGCTGGCTTCAGTCAGTGTCCTTTGAGCTCTTATGTGAATTCTGTCATAAGGAGCCTTCTGAGGTGCTATTCAGAACATTATACTCTAGTGGAGAAGGATGGAGCCATGTTGTTGGGTTGGAAGGACAGAAATCTGACATCAGCTTCAGCCTGGCATTGCTGAAACATAGATAACAAATACTGTGTAGTAATAGTAATATAGAAATATATCATGATGATGAAAGCCACATGGTACCTGGGGGTGGTAAATCTGAAGGTTTATGTTCACGCCAGTGCTATGTATCTTTCATCATTGTTCTTGTTCTATAGGACTTTGTTGTTCCTTAAAATTTGTCCATAAAGCGTTTCATCTCATGTATTAGAAACCTAGTTTATTGATTCTTTTATAAAATGTCGAGTATATCAAATGTTCTTTTTAGAAATTTGAACTTGCCCGAGTTGCTTAATACATTCTTGGTGATACACTTCGGTGCATTCTTATCTAGATGATAAAATTGCTAGCATAACCAATGACTGTGATGAGGTTTCCGATAATAGTTTTGTCAGCTTGTACACTATGCGTTATGAGCTATCCTATAAAATAAAGGGAAAAAGGTGTTTTTAGCGTAGATTAAAGAAGAGATAAGATTGCAGAAACTTAATTTGGTTGCAGTAAACCTTACAATGAAAGGTGATTAATAAATGAAAGGGTTATTGAGTTTATCAAGATTAAGAGAAATGCTGTTGAAAGACTAGAAAAAAAGGAATCTAGGCTACTGATAGGGGTTAGTTATGGCCTAGTTTGAAAGGGCAATGACATAGAGTTTGATGTGATCTATAAATTGAAATTCTTTGTATAACTGTTCAATATTATTATTATTTTTTTAAAATATTGTTTTCATTAATGAATTGAAATTATGTCTCGTTTTAATTTTTTTTGGTCTAAATTTAGTTGTGATTAAAACGTCTCGTTCTATTAACCGCGGTAGTATGTTTTATATATAACATTTTATAAATCTATATTAAATAAATTTTTAATTAATGTGGCATGTCAACTTTAATGAATTAAAATAACAGACCTAAATTATTATGATACAAACTCATTTTTAGATTTTTTTAAATATATTCTAAATTATTAAATTTGGAATATATCTTAAAAAATTATAATCTTTAACTTATTTTTAAATTATGTTTATCATAATAAGTTTTTTCGAAGTATTTTAGATTAACCTTTCTCGAAGTTTTATAAAATCGTCCAAAATCAGTTTTTTACCATATATTCTTAGGAAGTTGATTCTGGAACATTTCTAGAAAGCTTCTAGAAAGGTTAATATGAAAAATTTCGAAATGAGTTTTTTTGAACCTATTTACATTAGGGATAATATTTTTATTTTAAATGAATATGAGGTGTATAAAGAAAATATGGGGTGGAGAAAGAAACGGCTAGAAGAAAAACGCAAGGGTTTCATCTAAAATGAAAAAAATAAAAAGAAGAAAGATTAAAAGTAAGGGTTTTGAAAGTAGTTCATAGTAATAGCCCAACTTATTTGCATGTCTGTGCTATGTGAATTAAAACTAAGTGACATTCCTAGGCCCATATATCTACTGACTCAATACCTTGTATGATTCTCATAAATATTTTTTTATATAAATTATAATAATCATCTTTAAATAAGAGTATTTTAAACTTTTATCTTTCAATAACATTGCTTTCAATATTTTTTCTTTATCGTTTTCAGTTTTTCTTTTTCTTTCAATTAGAGTGTTTCTGATGATTTTTCTTAAGTTCGTATCTCTTTCAATCCATTTTTTTTATTAATGAATAAAATTTAAATAATTTTATAATAAAATCATAAATAACTAAAATATAATCTTATATTACACTATCAGTTATTTTTAAAAAAATTCATTTATCATAGAATTTAATTATAATATAATTTATATTCTTTACTAGTAACAATTATACAATATATAACTCGTAAAGATTACCAAAACATGTAATCAATAAAAAGAGAAAAAAAAACACCCCCGGCTGTAATCGCAGCCAAATAGTATTTTGTCGTTGTTAAAGTTGAATTTAAATAGAGCAGAATAGTATATGAAGTTTCAAGCAAACAAAAAAAAGAAGGGAGGTTGATTTTCAAGTGGGAGATGTGGTGCTGGTAAAATTACAATCATATAGGCAATTGTCATTGGCTTTGCAAAAAAACAAAAAATTAGGAATGAGATATTTTGGACCTTTTCCTATCATAGAGAAGATTAATAAGGTGGCTTGCAAACTCAAGTTACCGGTCACCACAAAAATACATCAAGTTTTTCATGTTTCGGTGTTAAAATTATTTAAAGAAGATCATGTCACATCGTATATTCCCCTACTATTGCTTAATATAGAGGAGACTCCAGTTCTACAACCCATAACAGTTCTCCAATGTCGTACTATCTTGAGGGACACTCAAGAGATTAAACAGGTTCTTATAAAGTGGGAAGGTCTACAGGATTTACGAGGCAACTTGGGAAGACATTGATAAACTGCATGAATATTATCCTAATTTGAACCTTGAGGACAATGAAATGGGTATTGTGATGGGAGGAATTAAACGAGGAGGACTATCACATGGGTAGTGAGTTGGCACATGAGGATAAAAAGTTTATTTACAGTAGTAGACAGGTGGCAAAATATCAAGAAATGAGGGGAGTGTGTACAGCCAGAGAGAGGAAACCAAATCCCATATTGCGTGATTACGTTTGGGGGATTGAGATATACGGGGAAGGATGAGAGAGAAAGATAAGGGAAAATTTGGTTGAAAATAGGTCAATGGTGAGAGGTGGAAGACTCTCTGGATTCTTGTACTCTTATTTTCATATTTTCTTACTAATCTATACTCGATATAATCTGTTATGGTTATAACTTTCATGATTGTCAATGGCCAATATAAATAGGACGAGTACATATCTTATTTCATAAATTTTTGTACTGGGTATAATGATATTCTTGTTGCCTAGATTTCATTAAACAATTTACAATAAAAGTAATACAATACTAGGGTTTGGCCTAGGTCGAATCTTGACGAGAATTGCTTGGTTTTATTTTGAATCTTTCTTTTCAATGTAAAAAGCTAGGAAATAGGGTTTTTTTTTTGTAATTTTAGATACAAAAAAGTAAATTGAAAACAATAAACCTATACTATGAAAAAAGTGTAAATGAAAACAATAAATCTAAATTATGAAAGCATTTAAAGAAAACATTTAAATGAAAGCAGTAAAGAAAGTTTGTAAATCTAATCTATGAAAGCTTGAAGATTAAGAATAGTGAAGAAACTATGTTGATTCTCCAATCATAAACTTACTTTTATGATTATCATTGATTTCTATGGAATTTTCTTGCAATCACAAAATCAAATCCACAATAGTTCCAATCAAGTACAATCCATTTGAAATTCGTATTCACAACTTAATTCCTAAATTAAGCAATCACTTAAATCTATAAGTTGAATTGTGATGTTAAAGACACATTAAATCAAATAACCTCAATTACATTTATTATAATGAAATATAATCGGTTATAATTATTAACAATTAAATATAAACTATAAAAAACAAGTTTTCATCGAGTAAATCAACAAAAAAAACAAATAAGAACATGATTAAAAATTGAAACACAAAGAACAATATGAAAACAGTAAAGAAATGAATGGAAAAAGATGAAAATAGAAAGTAAAAATGAAGAATTAAGAGAAAATGAAACAAATCAGATCAAGAAGAACTTGAATTGATAAACTTCATTGCATTATTTGTAGAAGAACTTCATGCATAGACTTAAAAACTAAACATCACTAAAAACTAGAGAAATTTGTAAATGAACTTGTGACTAAAACTCAACTTATATTTCTACACCTTCAAAGGTCTATTTATACAACAACAAATATATACGAAGCGTTCAAGGTCCATTCGAAGCCCATAGTTACAAAATAAAACTCAATACATAATTATGTAAAATTTGAATTTTAACTAATGCGTTCAGCTAGATTAATAGTTAAATTAGTTACATGAGATTCGATGCAATCCGCTCAACGGTTTGAAAACCGCTTAGCAAATTTCTTATTTTCTAATGAAGAGCTCTCTGGACCGATTCCACTCAACGGTTTCACATCCGCTGAGTGATTGCCTTGAAGTTGATTCCACTGAACATATTCAAAAGCGCTTAGCGACTTTACGCTATTTCAGCTTTTATAATTTCTTTAATTTATCATTTATGCAAAAAAGTACAATTTAAGCAATAATTTATATTAAGATATATTTTTTTCTTTTATAAAACTATATTAATTATTAATTAAGAAAATATACTAAATATATATAAAATATATTAATAAAATCATTGATAAAATGTGTTCATCATATAACAATAGATGATGAGTCCCTGAGTCCCTTGGGGAAGAAGAGACCATCCTTAGGAGAAGCCTCCTCCTCACCCTTATCCTTAATTTACTAAGTATTTTTTTCTTGTCTTTAATTTCCTAAACTCATTTAAATATTGTTTTTTTATGGATTACTTAAGGACACCCTTATGTTGAAATTCACCACCTTTTTTGAGGAAATGAGCCAAGGACCCAAACTTTGGAGTATGGAAGACCCATGAAGGGAGATGAGGTCAACCTTTTACCTCCTACAAGAGAAGGCCATGACCTTGGTGAGAAAAACAGGGAACTACCCCTTCTAAGATAAAATTAGGGCTATATGTGCTATTAGAATCCATATTGTAATTTCCTCTAGGTCCCTATCTCTTGTAAATGGTTAGAATTTGAATAAAAGTTTGAGAGTATTGCTTTTAAGTGTTTTTCTTTCTTTAGCCTCATCTTGAACCTTGGTTCTAATGACAACAACTACTACTCATCTTGGGTTGATCCATCTCTCAAGTGACATGCCTCACTCCCTCATTCGCCCCTCTCCTTTTGTGACATCCATTTTTATTAAATTATTAATTTAATTATCTTTTAAGAGATGATGATTTTCTAATAAATTTTGATAAAATTAAAACATAAGATAAATTTTTATATAGTTATATGTATAAACATATGAACTTTACACATTTTCATTGTTTCTATGTCAGAAATAATTATTAAAATTGATAAATATTTTTTCTCTAAAAGTGGTTGATTTATTAATGATATTTGTCTTTCAATTTGA